GGAGTCTACTTTACTGGCATAAAAGTGTTCAACAATCTGCCACAAAGTATTAAAAACTTGGGCAATGATACTAAAAAGTTTAAATCAGAGTTAAAGAATTATCTACATGCTCATTCCTTCTACTCTTTAGATGAATACTTCAATGTAAATAGAGAATGATGTAAAATTAAGTTATATTAATTTTTAAGCTAAAATTGCCTGTACTTATGTATGTAACCTTTTGACTTGTTCTGTATCCAAAGGTACTAACCTACTTAGGATTTATAGAATGTAAATAAATTCAATTCAATTCAGTTCCTCAGGGACTCTCCATACTGCATGAATGATGTTAGTATCACTGTCAGATATGAGATAAGACAATTTCATTAAGTCTTCAGAGCAATATATCATATAATATACTTACATGTGGGAGGAACGTTTAGGGAGTCAAATATAAATATCACATGGGATAAGACTGAAGTCATGAAACCCTATATGGAGGAATATGGAAAGGAGATCCAATTATATTAAGTGCCTTTCCAGCTATCACCTAATAACACAGAACTAAGAACTTATCATCAACTAATTATACGCACCTGATACTCATCTCGAACAAGCTTAACTACGTTGGATGAATCACCTGAGAGGATCCCATAAGAGGATCCTTCAATGCTCCCTACCAAATTTTTATATATTTTTGATGCACCATCTGTTATAGCAAATATCAAGTTAATATTATGCTGCTTAGCCACTTGATTAATCTGCAAGAAGAATAAGAAAAATTTAAGTTATTCTAATCTTTATATTGGCTTTGCTTCCATATTTCATAATGAAAGAAAAGCTCATGGCATTGTGTCCATTATCTCTTCACTTATAACTTTTGAACCAAATGACAAATGTTCATAAAACGTGGAAGAAGCAACCATCTTTTTAATTTTCTACCATCAGTACTATCAACACTATGGCTGTCTGGGCTGTCTGATCTTTGGGGTCCCCAAATTTTGTGTGGTAACAGACTTGAAAAATATTCAAAATCTGGGGGCGGGGGGTGTACAATTTTAGTACAATATGAAATATCGTTATGATGGCAGCTATAAATCTATATTTAGCCTTCTGTTTCATGGTGACAACTAATGAATCAGTGGACCCATGTATTAAGTACTCAGCATGAAGATATGTCATAAATACATGCATACGTTTGTATAATATCTTTTTAAAAGGTTAATATTTAGCAAAGATGGCTACAGTGCAATTCTTTGAAGCTATATCTGGCAAATTTAATGTAGTGACAAGCATGCACAGACGCAGAAATTTAAAATCATATGATTATTAGCACGAATGGGTGAGACGAATGTGTATAGGATATTGGTTGGAAAGCCAGAAGGAAAGAGACCGCTGGGAAGACCAAGGAATAGGTGGGTGGGCAATATTAAAATGGATCTTAGAGAGATAAGATGGGATGGGATGGATTGGATTGGATAGATCTGGCTCAGGATAGGAACCAGTGGAGGACTCTTGTGAACACTGTAATGAACCTTCAGGTTCAATAAAATGCTGGGAAATTCTTGAGTAGCTGCAGAATTGGCCGCTCCTCCAGAAGGGCTCAGCTCCATGAGTAAGTAAGTAAGTAAGTAAGTAAGTAATGATTATTAGTTTATAGTCTCCTCTAATTTCACACATAAACAGAAGTATCTGATTGAAAGTAGCCACCACAAGTTCTTGCTAGAACTTCTTGTCCTGAACATGAAGTTATTAACTAATACTTTACTGATTAACTAACGCATGCACTAGAGACAAGATACTTCTTTCAACATTATGAGTTTTCTCACTGTACTTGCAATAATCATAATTGTATTTCATGAAATGAACATGAAACTATAATCACTGAATTTTTATTATTCACCAAAACTAAGGAAATGTGGGAACACCGGGCAACTGGCGCAGCTGCTGCCACTCCAGCGACCCTGCTCTGCGACCAACTGCCCACCAGCAACCACGCTCTGTGACCTGGCAACTTCCGGCAACTGCCGCACTGCGACCAGACAACTCAGCTGCCGCAACATTAGCCAACAGCTATTTCTACCGGCGCACGCAGCACTACATCACCAGCCAGACAGACCAGCCGAACAGCCGTAGAACTTGGTCTACCATGGTGGAACAAACTGCCCTTTTCAGGGCCCACAAACTTTTTGGAGTGGCCTACTATGGAGCAACAAATCCCACAGAAACATTAAATTCTTTCTATTTTTAAAGAACAAAATGACATAACCTCTGACCTGTGAAATTGATGGATAGTCAAATACTAGAGAATGTGTATAATTCCCATCATCAGTGACATAACACTGCATATCATTCGGCTCAACAAGCCCAGCCAACTGTAAAAACAAAACAAATGTTAGCAAAATGTCTCAGAGTTTAACATGGCTTTTACTTATATGCTTCAACTCAGACCATTTGAAGGTGGAGGGGTACCTTACCCAATTTTCTGAATACAGATGTTCATCAGACAATTGGCAAAACCATTTTTAATACTGTTACTGAAATGTCTGTCTTATATCAAAGTACATTATAAATTCATCATGTAATGTTCATTGGTAACACAGTTGTATGTCTCTTAAAAATGGTACCAGATCCTAGCAATCCAAGTTTTTGACTCCAAAATACATGTTATTTATCTCTTTCTACCTCTTTGGTTGTAACATAAGGGCCTCTTATTGCTGTATGTAATAAAATTGAATTTATTCTTTTGTGTGTCCTGTTTCAATATACAACCCATATGTTAATAATTTTAAAAAGAAATATAATTCACTATAATACTCAACAACCTTACGGCCTAACTAACCAACTAACTAATACCACAGAGCTGAGTCCTTGAGAAGCCATCAGTTGCTCAGGTACCTAAGGATTTTCAAATATTTTATGGAACCCAAAGGTTCATTGCTGTGTTCACAAGAGCTTGACACTAGTTCCTATCCTGAGTAAGTTTATTTTTTTCCTTAATGTTAGGGACCAAGTTTCACACCCATACAACCACAGGCAAAATTGTAGTTTTGTATTTTGACACATTTTTGTAGGACCCATTAGCTGTAATTATGTTATGACTGTAATGAGACATCAGTGTGCACATAGTTTTCTCTAAGTATACTTCAGATCAACCTCTTTACTAATGTCAGAGTTTTTTAATTCTTCTAATGGTGTGCATGTTATCTCCCAATAGATTTACATGATCAGCATAGTCCCACTTGGTTTCCCTGGACCTTCCCATTGGCATATTCTAAAGCAAAGTTGAAAAGTAGTGGCAATAAAGCATCCTCTTCTTTCAGACAATTTTGAATAGGAAACATGTGAAACAAATGTTTACCTATGCAGACTTTACTACAGGTTTCATTTAAGCACATTTTAATAAGCCTACCTAGTTTCATGGGTACTGAAAGCTCAATGAGGACAATGTACCATATTTCCCTCCTAACTGCATCATAAGCTTTCTTGGATCCAACAACAACAATTTATTTATTTAACAACAATAACTGTTATACAGTACTGTTTTACTGTAAAGCAATACATCGTATAGTCCGACTTCAATCAGTCTGAATTCACTATAGTCCGGTTTGAAAATTTCAAAACAAACTAAAGTTTAATTAAGCAAAAGAAAAATAAATTCTAAAAAATTAGTACACAAAATTATTTTTAATACATAAATGATCGCTCCCTTTATACAGTTAATTCTCTTTTTGTGTGGTTTTAAAGTTATGCGGTACGATACAAATTTCAATTTTTTCTGGGGTTCCCCATTATATATGTACCTATGCTGAGCTTGTTTGTTCTTGAGCTCTGACAGCTATAACTGGAGGAGGTGAGGAGAGCACTACTTTAATGGAATTTTGGAAGAGCTACAACATCAGAAACGTTATCGAAAATATAGGCGAAGCATGGCATGATTTAACAGCAAGCAATATGAGGGCAGTATGGAAACATATACCACATTTTTCAAATGATTTCATTGGACAGCCACTTGGTTTCAATGAGTTAGATTCCAGCAATGTAATTGAGTGCATCAAATTGAACACTAACAAACTAGATAATGAAACACTTAATAACATAGATGAACAATGGGCTTATGAAGAACGGGAGGACAACTTAGACAACAACGACTGTGTTGAAGTGCCTGCAGGAAAATTAACAGCTGAACAACTATAAAAAATTATTGGAATGGTTGAAACCTTGTCAGAGCATATTGTGGAAGTTGAACCCAATATTGAACGTAGCCTTACAATTCGCCGAACGATAAACAATGCAATTCATTGCTACAAAGAAATGTATGAAGAGAAAAGGCCAAAGAAGAAAAATGTGCAGACATCAATATTGCAATTTTTAGAGAATAAAAAATAAATTGAAAAAACATTTTTTAAAATTATTCATAATAAAGACATTTGAATTCATTAATCGCGTTTTATTTATTGAAAAACGGATAATATTTTTTGAACCAATTATCATTTTTTGTATGTATGTAGTTCCTCGATTAGTCCAGTTTCAAACAGTCCGGGATATTGGCAGAACTGATTACCTGGACTATGCAAGGTATTGCTGTACTCCCAGTTTTTCTTCAGTATCCCCAATAATTTTGTCTAGATAGGGACTTTACATTAAGAAAATGGTATTGGGCAAAATTTGGTAAGAAACTGATAAAAATGATGTGCCTCAACAATTACCGCAATCAGTTTTGTCACCCTTCTCATAAATAAGTAAAATAATAGACTTCTTTCACTGCTGAATCAAATCTTCCTTATTCCAAACAGAATTAATAAGTTCATGTATCTTAGAATGTAGTGTTTCATCTCATATTTGAAACAATTCTGCCATAATTTGATAAATATCTAGAAATTTATACCTTTTAAACCTTGCATAGCAATTTCACATCCAAAACCACTAGGCTCGGGTACTAATGGCTCAGCTGTATTTGTTTCGTTCTCCCAATCGTCATTACATTCAAAGCTGAAAGAAGCGATTCTTCCATTTATTCAAAATGTTGTGTTCCTTTACGGCCTAAAATCTAAATCTGGTAGCTCTGAGGACCAATCCCATGAACATTTAGGAACATTTAAAAATTATCTAATGCATGCAAAATTTGTAAATAACAGGTTCAAGGACAGTTTTTTTCTTTATATAGGCTTGGCAGTTTTGGGGGAAATATGGCCCTGAGACTAGTCTACAAAAAAATCTTCAGTAAATGTTAAAGATTTTTGGAAGTAATTTTAAGGTCAACATTTTGGTACATTTTCTTTCTTCAAATATACTTGTATATTTGTTTCTTCTCCATTTTCTCCAGTTGAATCCCATATCCATTAAGAGAGTGACTACCATACCCTTCCATCACCAGCAAAATGGAAGTCTGCATCCGTTGAGAACACTAGCAAATGCCGAGCTTTCTGCCGCCAGCCAATCTGTTTCTGGCACACTATGGCTTGCATTATTGCATCAAAACCTCCTTCAGGAAAATCCAGATTTCCAGAGACTTTAGCTTCATTAACTCTCATCTACTGAACAAAAACAGAGATCCACATTTCGTTACTTTATTCACATTTACTTGCAGTTTTTGATATTCTTATACACATAACTCAAAACAGAGAGTTTGAGTTTGAGCACTATAGCATTATACAATGGAACAGTTCCGTCCATAACTTATAGCACAGTTTTCCATTACATTACATTGCATTGCATTCCATGAATCCAAAGTTAGTCAAAATTACTGTAGGATGTGGAATATGTCATATCAATACAAAACATATGTACAGACCCAATGGAGTTCTCACACAAGCGAAACCAAGAATACACAGTGACTACACACAAGGCTATTTAAAGATACATAAGTTATTTTCTAGACAATGGGTATTCATCAACAGAGTAGAATGAATGTGTATTTAAGTATCGTTTCAGTGCTATTTTAAATCGTACCTTTTCATTCATAAGACCTTTGAGATCAGATGGCGGGTTATTAAAACTGTTGATCCCCGCAAAATATGCGCTTTTCTGAAAGCATGAGAGGTTAGCAATTGGTTTATGAAGATAGTGTTTGTGTCTTGTGTTAACACTGTGTACATCTGCATTTGTCTGAAAATGTTCTTCATTATTTATAATGAAGTTTATTAATGAATATATTGTGATGTGCATGGCACAACAGGAAGTAGGGGTCCTGTGAACTCTGCATTCACGCAAGTGATGTCACATACCCCACTCCTTCCATCATTACGCAACGCTCGGTAAACACCCCTCCCCACTAAGCTGTGACGTCACGCAACAGGTGAATCCGTGCAGTGACTCTTGCTAGGCAATGTGTAGGTGGAAACACCTGAAAACAATACCTGATATCTGTTGCCAAGCAGCAAGGTGTTCTCTATGTTGTCCGTGCTGAGCCTAAATAAGGAGCAGCGAACACTATTCAGGAGTATTAGAGTATTGAGCCAGTTACCAGAGAGAGAGTTACTAGTATTCAGTATGAGTTGAAGTCCAGCAGCTACGACTTGAGTGGTATCGAGTGAATGGCACTGACTACAGCAGGAGACGTAACTGTGATACTGCAGATGGCAGTAATTGTGAAACTGTGAATTGTGTAAGTGTGAGAGCGAATGTGGAATAAATTCACTAGATCCAAAATGGCATGAAGTTATTTGTTGTGTGTCAAACACACAACACATGACAATATATATTCACAAGGCAAAGTTAAGATCTGTAGTCTCTTAAATAGATCTCTACAGGAATTACGGGATTTGACACCCATCATGAATCTAACAATTTTCTTTTGCAATGTAAATATCTTTTTACTGTCAGAAGAATTACCCCAGAAAATTATTCCATACTTCATTAAAGAGTGAACATAAGCATAATAGATTGATTTGAGAGTGTCAATGTTACTAATATGTTACATGAATCTAACTGCATAACATGCTCTACTTAACTTTGGAATCAACTGATCGATATGGTTTTTCCAGTTTAAATGATTATCAATCTGCAAGCCAAGGAATTTTGTGTTTACTCCCTCTTCTATATATTTATCATTATATCCTATGTTTAATGGATATTGTGGTGAGTTTTTATAAATTTTATTACATTTGTTTTTTCTAGGTTCAGGGACAGCTCGTTTGCAGAAAACCATTTACTCATTTGCGGAAGAACCTTGCTTGATAACATGCAGAAATCATCTAAATTTTTACCAGAAATTATAACACTAATGTCATCTGGAAATATTATAGGTGTTGATAGTGTAGGAGGGAGGTCATTTATATAAATTATGAAAAGCAAAGGCCCCGAAATTGACCCCTGTGGAACTCCATGTTTTGTTATTCTCCAGTTTGAGTAGGTACTTTGGATTGAATTTGATGATTTTATTTCAATTGTTTGTTTTCTATCTGTTAGGTAGGATCTGAACCAACTTAATGTTGTTCCTTGAATGCCAAAAAAATGTAATTTAGTTAATAAAATTTCATGATTTACACAGTCAAAAGCCTTTGCCAAGTCACAGAATATTCCACCAACGTGCTTTTTTTATTAACAGATTTCAACACACTGTCTGTTAACTTAAAGGCTGCATTTTCAATAGAAATTCCTTTCCTAAAGCCAAACTGTTCTGGGACTAGTATATTGACACTCTGAAAATAATGGCTTAACCTATTGTGCACAACTTTTTCAAGAAAGCAGTTAGCAGTGAAATTGGCCTGTAGTTTGACATACTAGTCTTGTCCTCTTTTTTATGTAGTGGTCTTTCTACTGAAATCTTAAGAAGATCAGGAAAAATTCCTGTGGATAGTGAGTGATTACAGATGTGAGTTAATGGGCTACTGATTAGAGATGCAGAAACTTCTAAAATTTTACTTGTTATTCTATCATAACCTGAAGAGTCTTTTGTTTCTGAGGGAATGTATTGTACTTTTTATTTCAGTTTCAGTGGTTGGAATGGTTTTAATATGAGGGAATTTTCTAGGAAATGCCTCTCTTAAGAATGAAATGACATTATCTCCCACTTCCTGATGCAAGTTTAGATTTTCTCTAATTGTTAGAAAAAAAAAGTATTGGAGGCTTCTGCAATTTCTCCTGGGTCCTCAACTTTTTCATCATTTATAAGGAGAGAGGTATCTGTTCAGTCAGATGTGATTTTCCTGTTTCATGTTTTATTATATTCAGGTTGTTTTTATCTGATTATTCGATGTTGCTATAAGCCTTTTATGCTGCCTTTTAGCCTCTTTTATAACTCCACTCAGGATTTTGCAATACCCTATGTAGTATGCTCTCATGTAGGGATTACTCCTGCTCCTGCTGTCTACATAGACGCCTTTTATGTGTACAAGATATTTTTATTCCTTGCGTAATCCAGTGGTTTTTTATTCTACTTACACTTTTATGCTGCATAGGAAAACTGGCTTCAAAGATATTTAGAAAAATATATAAAAAAGAGTTAAACTTATAATTTGTATCCTTATTTTTGAAAACAGGTTCCCACGTTTCATTTTCTATTAGTTGTTGAAATTGAGCAGTGGTTTCACTATTTATTTTTCTGGTTCTCTATTTCAAGGGTGTTGAATTTATTTCCGCAATAATATTATTTACTGTAAGAAATTGAGCATCATGGTCAGAGAGGCCGTTGACTATAGGAGATATACAAGAAGAGCTTAACCTTGCATTATCTATAAAGATATTATCAATGGCCGTGCTTGAGGAATTTTGAACTCTTGTTGCGAAATTCACTGTGTGTGAGACAGATTGTATGTCGTTATTAAAGAGTTCACNCTGTTCAGTCAGATGTGATTTTCCTGTTTCATGTTTTATTATATTCAGGTTGTTTTTATCTGATTATTCGATGTTGCTATAAGCCTTTTATGCTGCCTTTTAGCCTCTTTTATAACTCCACTCAGGATTTTGCAATACCCTATGTAGTATGCTCTCATGTAGGGATTACTCCTGCTCCTGCTGTCTACATAGACGCCTTTTATGTGTACAAGATATTTTTATTCCTTGCGTAATCCAGTGGTTTTTTATTCTACTTACACTTTTATGCTGCATAGGAAAACTGGCTTCAAAGATATTTAGAAAAATATATAAAAAAGAGTTAAACTTATAATTTGTATCCTTATTTTTGAAAACAGGTTCCCACGTTTCATTTTCTATTAGTTGTTGAAATTGAGCAGTGGTTTCACTATTTATTTTTCTGGTTCTCTATTTCAAGGGTGTTGAATTTATTTCCGCAATAATATTATTTACTGTAAGAAATTGAGCATCATGGTCAGAGAGGCCGTTGACTATAGGAGATATACAAGAAGAGCTTAACCTTGCATTATCTATAAAGATATTATCAATGGCCGTGCTTGAGGAATTTTGAACTCTTGTTGCGAAATTCACTGTGTGTGAGACAGATTGTATGTCGTTATTAAAGAGTTCACTTGTTTTTTCTGACTACTTTCATTTAAATAGTTTATGTTTATGTCTCCACATATTATAAACTCAGACTTTGGATTGTACAGATATTTTAAAGTTGCATCTAGTCTCCTTAGAAATTCATTAACCTCTCATGAAGGGGCTCTGTACAGGCTTAATATAATTAGGTGAGATGTTTTAGTTACTAGCTGTATTGCACAGATTTCAAAGTCTTGCTCCTTACAGTGATGAGAAATATCAATTTTACTGAAATGTAGATCTGTCTTAACAAAAATACACATTCCTCCCCTCTGTAGGCTCTTTCCACAAAAACTTGAGCCTAACAGGTANTAGGAAAACTGGCTTCAAAGATATTTAGAAAAATATATAAAAAAGAGTTAAACTTATAATTTGTATCCTTATTTTTGAAAACAGGTTCCCACGTTTCATTTTCTATTAGTTGTTGAAATTGAGCAGTGGTTTCACTATTTATTTTTCTGGTTCTCTATTTCAAGGGTGTTGAATTTATTTCCGCAATAATATTATTTACTGTAAGAAATTGAGCATCATGGTCAGAGAGGCCGTTGACTATAGGAGATATACAAGAAGAGCTTAACCTTGCATTATCTATAAAGATATTATCAATGGCCGTGCTTGAGGAATTTTGAACTCTTGTTGCGAAATTCACTGTGTGTGAGACAGATTGTATGTCGTTATTAAAGAGTTCACTTGTTTTTTCTGACTACTTTCATTTAAATAGTTTATGTTTATGTCTCCACATATTATAAACTCAGACTTTGGATTGTACAGATATTTTAAAGTTGCATCTAGTCTCTTTAGAAATTCATTAACCTCTCATGAAGGGGCTCTGTACAGGCTTAATATAATTAGGTGAGATGTTCTAGTTACTAGCTGTATTGCACAGATTTCAAAGTCTTGCTCCTTACAGTGATGAGAAATATCAATTTTACTGAAATGTAGATCTGTCTTAACAAAAATACACATTCCTCCCCTCTGTAGGCTCTTTCCACAAAAACTTGAGCCTAACAGGTACCATTCATTGAGAGGAGCAGCAGTTCCTGTTCAACCATGTGATGTTCACTCAAACACAATATGTGAGGGTTTATGTTGTCTATTTCAAAAGAGTGTAGTAATTCTCACTTTTGCTTCTCAAGCCTCTGATATTTTGGTGAAAGATATTTATTGCACTTAATATTTCTGCATTTTGTCTGTGAATATCCAAGACTGCTGGACTACATTTAACCTTTAACATCCGAAGTTCCCCGTTCGGGCCAGTGATGAGTAAGGTCATCGTGGCCAAAGTACGCCATTTTGGCCAGTCGGGCATTTAAACTCTGCTAGCGGAAGCATGTGCACACGCCGCTAGTAGAAGCGCATGCACAGTCCTAATATTTATTTTTCAATGTAGTAATTACCAGACTGACTTGAGTAAAACCCTAATCGAGGCATTAAAATGATACTTAAGTGAACAACAACAAAAAGAGTATACATATGAGTTATGCCCAAACTCATCCACGAGCCAGTACTTTTATTGCAGATTCTGCAGATTAATGTGTTAAAAATATACAGTAAAATTCGATGTATATTTTTGTTGTTATCTGCTTCATGTATATATAGGCTGAAGTGAAACTACAGTATTCGATTTCACTACGAACACACAGAAAACAGATCGCACTCTGTATCTCAGCCACGATGCAGCTGTCTATTCACGCCCATAGAAAGGGCAATAATCTTTCGCAGCTATAATGGAAGGTCTTAGCACTGAAGAAGGGACCTCTCTAGCTATTTCTTGAATAGCCATGCTTTCATTCTTCTGTCATTTAGTCAAAAGATTCGAAAATCTGAAGAGTATAACAAAAATGTAAGGATTTCAGCAGAGAACCAAATGATTTTATTGCTTCCATCTGTTTTATGGCACCAGGCACTGCTAAAATTTGTCAAGTGTTACAAACAAACGAATTTATAATGCAGAATAACTCTGTGACTTGGAAACCAATTTTGCAGTATGCATCAAAATTAAAAGAAAAAACTGAAAATAGAGTATAACATTTTGTATAAAATTTTTCAAATCTTCCGTTGTAATATACGACAATATGTTCTTTGCTGATACAAACAAAGTTAATTCCATCCATTTATCATAAAATTGTGTTACACCATTTTTAAACACAATGCTTAAAATTGTGTAAGCGCCCTAACAGGAACAGACATTTAAACACAGAGTAGCAACATGCATTTAAACGCGCACCAGCAGCGGGCATTTAAATAAAATTAAAAGAAAAAACTGAAAATAGAGTATAACATTTTGTATAAAATTTTTCAAATCTTCCATTGTAATATGCGACACTATGTTCTTTGCTGATACAAACAAAGTTAATTCCATCCATTTATCATAAAAATTGTGTTACACACACCATTTTTAAACACAATGCTTAAAATTGTGTAAGCGTCCTAACAGGAACAGACATTTAAACACAGAGTAGCAACATGCATTTAAACGCGCACCAGCAGCGGGCATTTAAATAAACTCTGGCCAGCTCAAGCTTACCACTATTTCAAAAGCCCGGTGTTTAAAGGTTAATATATGATAAGCATCTTGGTGTTTTTGAATTTAATCTAAAAAAGGAGACACCAGTGTGAGACATGTCATGCTCCATCAAGGCCTGATCAAGCCTTAGATTCATGCTCTTAACCTTCCCATTCATCCACAGCTTGTCATGCCTCTCAAAGAGGCTGACAAATCCCACATTGGTGTTTGATGTCCTCTCTGCAATGTAGTCGTGATCATTTTCAATTGAATAATGATATTCATTTATTCACATTCCATAAGATCTTTACAAGATCGAAAAACAACCAGTTAGATATAGAAATCATCAAGTAGCTTAATCACATCTTGCTTATCAATCAAGCAGCTGTCAAAAAACAATTAATAGTAGATAAGGTTTACATTAGTCATAAAAGAATTAATCTTAAAGACAATAAAAACATTGGATAGTTTCTATCCAGGCTATTCCCTGGCCCTCCTACTATAATAATATGATCTTGATTGGTAAGGCCTTTACCAAGCTTCCCTGTATCCTCAATAACCTTTGCAAGAGGAGAATAGCAGAATAGCTCTGGCCACTCAACTAATTTCACTGAAATGTCTTCAGTGGTGCAAAATGCACAGCAATTTCAGTATCTTTTAATCTATCCAGTTTCTTGTGTCTTGAAACAGTCTCACAGGAAGTAAAAATCATGCAGTAGGGCTTGAAACAAAAAGATATGCATTAAACTGTGCTGCATTGATTGAAATTGTCTTACCGAAAACAGGCTGGTGTTTGTATCAAGCTTCAGATGGTTTTTGAACCCATAGGGTGGAGCACATGGTTGTTTACTTTTCAGAGTACAGGGCACCTGCAGTCTAGTAAAAATATGAGTAATATATTTGTTATGCTAGTCAAAACACTGCAATATATGTTATATGTTCGTTATGTTTCAGAATACTGTCACAAACCCCCATAAACAAAGACAGAACAGTTTGAATATGAGGAGTTATAAGTTCAAAAGGTCAAACTAATAAAAAGTACACAAAAATTATCACTTGAATATACATATATTTGTATTTTCAGATGTACCACTCTTTGTATTTTTATTGGATTACACTTCTTGTTTTATAAGAAGAGAGAGATATTGTCTCTTCCATGTGTGAGTGCCCATATACAACCATACCTCTCCCCAATAATGTTTGAACCAATGAACATATTTTCATGAAACTAGTATAAACATCATGCCACAAGAAACAACTAACCTGACTTTTGTACTTTCCAGCTGTCTTGCAGATAATGCAAATGTGACAGTCACATTAACTTTATATTAGTCAGAGAAACACTAGCACCATTTAATATCAAAACCTGAAATTTTGCTTAATAACAGATCTTTTAAAATTGTCAGCTTCTATTAAGAAAACAGTCACAAAATTGCATGCCTTCACAAGAGAGCCCACAGCAAGAAGTCAAGAACCACTGGATGCATGTTCCTCTATAATGGTTAACATACTTCTATTATTAAATACTCACTTTTCTGGCACTGTGCTGACATATGGCATTTCAACTTTATCAACAAAGCTGCCAAAGCCAAGTCGAAAGTCCCTTGTTAGTGCTTGCATTTCTGCTGCCAACTTACTGCCAAGTTTAGAAAGGCTGTCTTTGTCATCTTCCATGGATGCAGACAGATCCATTAGGTAGTACAAGTCCACTGGATAATCACGAGTGTGTTTGTATTTTAATTTTAATGAATATTCCTCTCCTATAAAATACAAATACTTCTATTGTGAAGAGCATAATTATTTGGAGGACGGGTACTAAAAATTAACAATATTGAACTGCTGAATTTAATTTACATTTTACTTAATTCAGTGATTAATTATATCTGATTTCAGAGTCCCAGGGTTGACTTTATCACTGTTAAATTACACCTGTGATAGGGATATTAATGAAGCAGCATAGTCACCAATTCTTGTTCACTAAATTCCTCTACGTAAGATGAAGCTCAGATATTATCTGTCCTGAAAGAAATTCTGTTTTTTTTTCAGACGTGTTTCATTCTAATATCGTGTTGTGAAATGTCTGACGTAAAATAACATTTGTACCTCATGTTCTTCATACAACCAGGAAAGAGGGTCAAGGAAATCTGTGAGAAAAAATATATCTGGCAATCAAATTCTCATCCATTGAAAAATTTTGACTGACTTTCACCCCCTAAATATGGCCAAATATGATTCATGGTCTGGTCACCCATTAACACAGCACACTGGGATTAAGTTGCTCACTTTTTTAAGAAATCTCTGATGACAGGAATTCATTTAAATGAAACCTATAGTAAAATCCATATATGTAAAAAATTTGTCTAATACATTTCTTGCCCACAATACTTTGCAACAATGAAAGTCAATAGAATGCAGAATAAAATCAAAACATAGTTATAGCTAATATATCCTTTGAAAATTCGGCAAAGTTCAAATAAATGTGAATAATCCTAGCAAATTAAAATTGCATAAAAAAAGGTAAAGCTACTCTAGTAACAGGACGAGAAGACCCATGTGGTTCTGAGATGTCGAGGCTCCCACATTTTCCTTTGACAATCGGCTCATAGATGGTGGTAAGGTTGTAAGCCTTATGTGCCAGCTGCCCTTTACCCCCCCCCCCATGAAAGATTTCTGGTCCTCATTTCTGTTAGAGGCTGAGTTGAACCCAGGGCCATAGTGCAGCTGGAAGTATTAGGTAAATTGAAAAAATCCACCTCATCATGACTCAAACCTGTGACCTTCCAGCTTATAGCATAGTGCCTCAACAAACTACACTACCATGTGCCCCCAAATTAAAATTGCATATATGTAGAAATTAAATGCAGATTAAATATGGAAATTCTTGCTATTGTTCAGTTCAGAATCTTCTCTCTTCCTCTGTGCTGTCTTAAAACATAATAATTAGAATAAACAAACCCATAATTTAGTTCAAATTTCTCCCTCATGGTCACCACTGGGACCAGACATCCCTGACCCTCTGACTCCACTCACGATGCCAGGCTGCAATGGACAACAGTTTATGTATAAATATAGTGGGTGAACACAATACTCATCATATAAACCCCTCACATTGCAGTCAGACATATTCCCTGACATGTTGGACACCAACTCCATACTGACATAACTGATAACTGAAGAACGCTTCATTGAATTTTATCTGTTGTTTTGTATGGGCGTAAAATTCTTTCAGAGTAAGGGAAGAACACAGACTGAGGGTGTTTGAGAACAGGATATTGAGAAGAGTATTTAGAACATAGATAAAACAGAATAATGAGGTGTTCCATAATTTGTATTTTTGCCAATATTATTAGAATGATCAAAATGAGGAGGATGAGATTGGAAGGTCATGTAGCATGCATGGGAGAGAATAGGGAGGCATACAGAATTTTGGTAGGAGAGCCTGAAAGAAAGATTAGGCATAGATGGGAGGATAATGTTGAAATGGAACTTAAGGATGTTGGTTGTAGGGTGTGGACTGAATTCATCTGGCTGAAGATAGGGTCCAATGGAAGCTTCTGTGAACATGGCAATAAACCTTTAGGTATCAAACAATTTCTTGAGCATCCTAGCAACTACCAGCTCCATGAAATTAAGTCAGTTTGTTCTAGCCTTTAATTTCATTCCCAACAGGATGGAAAATTTATGCAGAGCACAATGATTGTAGTGGGTCCATAATGTTATGTCTGATTATGTCACAAACTGTTAAGACTTACAGGAAATGTATATTTGGAATAGAATATTAAATTTGTAATGAAAATCAATTCAGCAGTTTTCAAGTTATTGCATATGGGCGAACAGAAAGAATGGACTGATAGACAGGTACATCTTTGGAAATTTTAATTGTGAACACACAAAAGCTTTTGGTAAGATCTCCTATTTGTTAAGAATCAATTATTATTTGAGGAAAAGGCTAAATGGGATGAGAAATATGAAGTATTTGGATACAGAAAGCATGTATGTATATTCCCTCCATTACTGCTGTAACAATGTGAAGACCAGTGACTGTAACTGCCTCCCAAATGTCATATGCACTTACCAACATGTAGTTTCAGCTGAACTCGCTGTGGACGGAACAGCACATCAGTGCTAAAATTGTTATCTTGCAGTGTTCTGTATTTGTCATTGTTTGGTTTGGGATAGATGTAATTTCTTCCACACCGGACTGTACCAGATTCAAAGCAGCGATTCATAGTCTCTGTGTTGAAAATCTGCAATAGAAATCCAGAATTACGCATTTTATAGATATGTATATAACAATTTAATGGATCACTTACTCTTCAAATCTAAAAACTGTTGGACTGCGGTCTGACAATGGACATGATAGTGATTTTCTGGATGTTGGACCGAGTTCTGCAGAGTACCTTGGTGTATGACAAAATGAAATGTCTAATATACATTTATGTTTTTTTTTATTTAAAAATTCAGCTGTTTAGCTCTGAAGCAAAAATTAATTTCCTACATGTCGGACTGAGTCAGTCAGGAGAACCACGAATGAAAAAGAATTCTATCTTCTGGGATATACCACCCTGTAATCTGCTGAAAGTCAACTGACGTTCTGGAGGAACATGTCAAATGCATGTTCCATGTCAAAGAGTAAACCAAGCAAGACATCAATATGAAGAAGACAGCAAGCTTGTTTGCTGATCTCTTGATTGGTTTACTCTTTAACCCTGGTGATGGTGACATATTTTTCCTAAATGTCAGTTGATTTTCAAGACTACAAGAAGTTATATTCCAGGAGACAGAAATCTTCATAACCACTGCTGCCAGAAACTCAAATCCTGTAGTCAACAAACAGAAGACTTTCTATGCGCTATCATTGTAGTTAGTTATAAAATGTGTAAGTTAATGAGATTTATAGTTTTGTGTAGTTGCTAGGTAAAAGTGTTAAGTAAATCCAATTATCAGTCCAAACCCTTTATCACAGTATTATTTATCTGCGTGAAATTGAATGCTTAGTCTCGTGAATGAAAAGGATGTCAGAAGTATTTCTACAATTTTGTCTTTAAACAGATTTTGAGATTTAATATTACGGCCACAGCCGGGATAGCGCAGTCGGTTTAACGACTGGCTACGGGGCTAGACGACAAAGGGGTCGGAGTTCGAGTCGCAGTAGGGACAAGAATTTTCTCTTCTCCACATCGCCAAACCGGCTCTGGGGTCCATCCAAACTCATAACCAATGGGTAACGGGGGCCCTTTCCCAGGGGTAAAGCGGTCGGTGCGTGAAGCTGACCACTCACCTCCAACTAACGCCGAGGTTAAGAAAATATGGATCTGTACATCCGCTCCCCCATACGCCTTCATGGCGTAGTGCTTAATTAGTTAAGCACAGGTGCAACTTTAGCTTACCTTAACATTACTCGTATGGCCACCCAGTGCTTTCTTTCTGACAGAAAGAAATAACGTGGTCTAATAGCAAAAGAAATGGTAAAGTTATCTCTTGTTCTTAAGCGCCAAATTATGAAAATGTATGATTATTTTTAATCTCGGCTTTTGATGGAAGTGAGGAGGTTTCGCGCTTCGGCCGCTTTACTCCAAGGAAATACTGGTTAAGCCCTAGATTTGTTATAGACTGTGGCGAAGAGAAAAATCCCTGTCTGTACTTAAAATTGAATCAGGTCCTCCACTTTATCCCTGGTGGCTAATGTAATTGCACTTTTTTCACAAAAAGAAAAAAAAGTCTCCGTTGCAACACTAACAAAAATGGCAACTTTAATAATCACAACATTTTCGTGTGAATATGATTTTCATGGTAAAGTTTATTACAATGGTGAAATCGCGCTTGTTCGGACATTCATTTGCGTGTTTCATCTTCGAAACAACTCTGGCATATTTGGTTAAATCAGGTATGCGGAACACAAACTGAAAGTTTTTGCGACGATTTCATTTTTGTCAGTGTCTGTCCATGTAACTCGTTATTTACATGAAGCGCAAACATAATTTTATTTATTCCTAAAAACGACTAACCGTGACATAAAATTCAGACGTCTTTAACTACTGTTTGTTAGGAAAGTTTTAGACGTGGTTAATATGTAATGGAATAAAGATAAAGCTATCCCTGCAACAGGCCGTGGAAGCCCAGCAAGTTTCCTGATACTCATTTCTGTTAGAGGCTGAGTTGACCATGCCGTATGAAATACAAACTCAAAATTGAAGCTGATACGGGGAGAAAATAATAAAACAAAACATATTTTAAGTCAACTTCATGCTTTAATTGTATGATCAATCATCGTTCCGTTCTATACCTCCCTCGATTGCTTAAGTCAATCAATTAGCTGATACGTCTTGTTAAATCCCGCTACGGACAGTTCTAATCATTAAGATTTTACTGTGAAATTAATGGAGACATATATATCTATGTTTATTCCAGGATGCGAAAGTAACATTGGTCGGTACTTGCATTTCCTTCTCAAACGGAAGGACGTTACCACATCCGGCATCGAATTTTCACAATTCCTGTACTTGCACATTTGAATTCACCAGTTTCTGGATATATACAAGCATAATTTACCAGTAATTTTATATGGATACTCAGAAGGGTCAGTTTAAATTACGAGTATTTGAAAATAGTGACATGATGAAAATTTGTTGTCTTAAGAGGGGAATTAATTTGGGAATAGGAGATGTAACATAATGAGAAACTTTGTTATTTATACATAAAATTGTGCTGTTTGGGTAGTAAAATTAAGTGGGCTACGATGGAATGGGAATTTTGCTTGGATGGAGACGAATGCATAAAGCGTTAAGGAGGAAGCCCTCTGAAAAACGATCACTTACAAGACGGAGAATAACATGAAAATATGAAACATATAACATGAAAATTTTGAGGGAAAACAGATGGCGAGGACAGGAGACTGATCGACCTAGCTCAGGATCTAAGGAAGAACTTCGTAGAAATAACTTAACAATTTAACGGGAATGAAATCGTGGAAGTCACGTTGGGTTTTAAAGTGACCACTTGGAAGGCCGAGAAGAAGACAGAGGACATCAAGAAAAATATTTTGGAAATAGGTTGCGCGGGTGAAATGTGGATGGTACTGACTCAGAATCATACCCAGTGCCAGGGTCTGATATTAACAGTGCTGAACTTTAAGGTTCTGCAACCACAAGGGTAAGTTAGAATCTGAAATGCATTCAGTAGTAGTATATCAGAACCTTGAGATTGCCATTCAGCAGTACAAACAGCTGAAAACAACAAAAATTCCACGGGAGATAAAGTTGGGCTATTTATTTCTATCAATTTTTTTTTATTTTGGGGAGGGAGCTATCTTACGACATTCTATCTGTGGTCTAGTAGTCAGACTTCATGGCTACAGATCCAGAGGTCCCGGGTTAGATTCCCGGCGTTACGAGATATTCTGAGAAGTAGTTGGTCTGGTCCACTGAGCCTTGTGAGGATAATTGAGGAGCTACTTGAATGGAAAATTTGCGGTTTCGGTCTAGAAAACCGAAATTAATGGCAGTGGGGATTTATTGCGCTGACCACACAACACCCTCTATCCGCTAAAGGTGGCACTAACTTCACCGACAAGCGGCGGTCGCTCGGTCGGTATAGTTCGCTTGCGGACTAAAGCCACTGATTTCGAATTTTTGTATCTACGTGTAGATTGTAGCATCGAATGGTAAGGTGTGATGCCTGTTGAAGTGGAAAAGTTTTGGAAGGAAGTAGCCGTGGCCTAGTTGAAGTACTATCTCGGCATTTTCTTAGAGAGATTAAAGAAAACCCTTAGTCAGTTCAGCCGGTGTCTCTTCCGACATTCGACCCGAACTCTTGAGTACAGTTTCGAGCGTTACCAAACCAAACCTCTCGGTGTTCCGTCAACTTCCACACTCTTGACACCATGCTTATGGAGAACGTGGCAATCAGTGCCGGTTTTTATGGAGCGCAAGAAACAAACTGTTTAGGCCCTGACTTCTCACAGTACTGTACCGAAGAGCCTGAACCTCCTTTGTGCACCAGTGACACCACAACTCGCCAGAATCACAAATACGACGTATAAACCGTTCTAATTTACGTAAACTACTTTCCTTCAAATGCTTCCATCTATATATAGGGACTAGCACATATTTCGTTACACGATTTAAGTGTAATTTCTGCCAGCATGCCTACAAACCGACACTCCTTGCCAATTGTCAGAAATATAACAGTTTCGCACCTTCCCTATATGGATCAAAATAGTTGCAAACAAAAATCTGTAGCTATGTATATTATTCAAGTTATGCTATTATTCATACAACTTTCGACTAAGAAAAATCATAAGACAGAGTGAAGAGGACTAGATTATGTACCACTAAAACCTCCCAATCTGCTGAATGCTATTAAATCTCTGTACGACAACACAGCATTATGATCAAGTCGGACCACAAGTGCGACATGGAAAATCTCCATGAAGGATTAGACAAAAGATATGAACTCCCCCACTGATGTATCACATTTATACACTCAAAATGCTACAGGAATTGAAAACTGTGCTAAAACTTAATGTTATTTGCAGACGACTTGCAACAAAACGTGACAAATGTGAGAAAAATATTACCAACATATGTGAACATTTCTAATAAAATCAAAGCTATGGAAGTGAAGGGGAAATATGTGAGAAGAACTAAATTAATATCGATGGAAAATTATAAAACAGTTAATGCCTTAATATATCTGGTATATAGTATATCAACACATGAAAGAACATGGATCTGCGAGAGAATATTCTGAAATATAATTAAATGGAATTGTGAATCGAAACTTTCGGAAAGACCAGAAATACAGTTACGGATGCAAAATGAGCTTTCGTGACCTGTCCTTACGTATAAGAGCGAAATATATGTGCTGAGAAATCAATTAAAGAAACATACGGAAGCATTTCAAGTGAGGGTTCTGGGTTCGAGGCTACAGTGAGGGACAAAAGAAAAGTGAGGATAAACGAGAACGTCTAGAAACAATATATAGTCAAAGAAAATAGACAGTAGCAAAGAAACTGAAAGGCGCATGTAGAAAGGATGACCATGAACGTTTATCACGGCACACATACTATTATAATCCTATGGGAAGACGGGACCTAGGACGAAATAGGAAGAAATGGAGGTAACAGCCCAATTAGCCTCTGAACAGGATTTGGCCCAGTACCTGCTATGATAGAAAATGAAAAGGAGAATACCGGATTTCAAGCGGCCAACAGCAATGGCTCAAACCGAAGGTAATCATTGATCTCGTGGGCCTTTCATTTCACACTCAACATGAAAAGAAAAAGACACCAACAAACATTGTAGGAAATGTTGTATTATCGGGTCACTCGCCTGAGAAGCAGAATTTTATGCGAACTGTTACGTATGGAAAACATGTACTACATAAAGATAATCTATGTAACATATTCGAAGCTATCAAATGTTTCAACATATAAGTGTGGGGTTTTCCTGCATGGAGCTTATACACTGATGTTGACTGTGATTACGTAACTACTTAGGCTTCAAACCGGATATCCTTGTTGATAATTTTGCGTTTTTCCAAGACGGTTTCGAAGTTCCTGTTACAGCAGATTTTGTACTTCTTTGTGGTAAATATCAGAAGAGTCTGAGCAGGTCTGACAGTCCATTACTGCAAGAAATCGATCGTTTTCTAAACTGCGGCTAAAATATCCCTAAGCTGTATCATCTGCAGATAGTGACGTCGATCATTATATGATCATTGGAATATTCTTTTCCTTGGCACTACAGCCCCAGTGGGCCTAAGCCTACCTCCATGAACCTCTCCGTTCACTTCGGTTTTTCTAGATCTTACACATTCGGTAGGACTCCTTGGGCGGGTGATCAGCTCGTCGCAAGGCCTCTACCTGTACAGAAACACAGAAAAACGCACACACACACAAACTAAACATCCATGCCCTGAGTGAGATTCGAACCCACGATCCCGGTTTCCAAGCGAGCGAAGACAGTACATGCCTTAGACAGCTCGGCTACCGTGACCGGCCATTAGAAAATTATTAGAGTTAATTTTTAGCTTGCAATTAGAATCAAACGCAGCATAACGGAGATTTTGTTGAATACGAAGAATTGTTATTCAATAAAGTTGCCTCCTCAATGTATAAAATACCTTCAAAGATGTTCTAAAGAGACAATATTTTGTGACGTCTGCTTTCGATTGACATGTGATGGCGAGTCTCGATTAAGAAGTCAAGCACGATATAACGAGATTAATTTAGCTGTGATTTGATTTTAAGTGCACTCTACTGCAATTCTGATGATTTAAATGAATCATCAATGCGTCTCTCCCCGGAATTGTTACGGGGAATATCCAGGTCCCTACACCTATAGAGACTACAGTCACAGCTCTCTAACCCCATTGCAAATACAACTAACATTGTGGTGGCAGGTTCTGAAGGTCCAAAGCAACCAACGGACACGATCCTGATTCAGTTCTATCCGCTACCCGTCCTCATAACTTACTTACCTAAGATCCATCTTAATGTTATCCTTAAATTCCCTTTCCGGTTTTTCAAATGAACTTTCTCTAAGGGTCTCACCATAAAAATTCTGTATGAATCACTTGTAATTTGACTTCATGTATTCCCACTACATCCAAACTACACTGCTGTAGCTCTGTAGCCAACTATTCCCAAAGTTATGCCAAACTACGGGAACGATGGTGCGTCATCGTCAGTTAGTGACGTGGACCGTTACGTCACCAAAAGAAATTCACTATATTCTACTTTCAACATACGTCCGCTTTCATACGCCGGTGGAAAAAAAAACACACAAAATGTTTTTATCCCGTACAGTTGCCTACACAAGGTATTACGTACCCTAATTCGTAGAGCATATGACCTTTTATTAGCATAACAAAAGAAAATGTTACTATGAATTCCTGCACTGTTAGCTCTTCTCGAAGATTTATGGAGAGGGCATACCAAGGAAACTGACAACAGCAACGCAACTGCAGTTTCCGAGAATTGTGATCAGCCCGAGTACTTCAGTTTCCCCTGCCAATCGTCATCCCCCAAATTGCTTCGCAATCACCCTCACCTATCATAATATATAGGCCAGAATAGGCCAGAAGCGGCCGCAGTACAAGGGACTTAGCAGTAAAAAAAAAGCCTGAGTTAAACACAAGTTGCTGAATGGAGCAGCGCAAATTGAGGAAAGTGCATTGCAGTTTCCTCAATTTGCGCTGCTCCATTCAATACCTTGTGTTTAACTGAGGCTGATAACAATTCTCGGAAATTGCGGTTGCGTTGCGGTTGCCAGTTTCCTTGGTGTGCTCTTGCCCCTACGGTACGTACTGAGGTGAATCAGGAGTAGCCTCAATCACAGATTATCATATTCGACTCCCATGTTCTGCACCTAATACAGTCACGTCTGTTGAACTCTAGGTTTTTAATTATTTGATGTTAATTTTGCCATCATAATACGTTTTCTACACTACACGGATATTAAAGACTTCTATAGACCGAAGATTTAATCAGACCTTACTATCAACAATAGTATATAATATTTATTAACGGTATAGAACTGAAAATGTTTACCTCCGCGTGACAAACGTCGCTATAAGTACTTCTCGTTAGATCTATATTCGACGATAATTTATAAATTTTGTAGTTAAATTCGTATCTTCTGATTAAGGTGACAGTCCTGGCTGGTTTCCAAGTGTATACCGACAGCGATTCTGACATGAATTCCCAGAATCAAATTTATTCTTAGTTAACACGGCTCAAAACGGCAGGCGCAAAACCCAATAAGCGCTCCTTTGTAAAGCACAAAACTAAATACCGACTGAACCAATGCCGGAAGAGTTCGATGAAATACTCGTACGTTACTGCCAGTTTCAGAGAGATGGCCAATTTCTATTATTGCTTAATATATGTAGTTGATATAGCAATGAAACAAACTCACCGGTTCTGCACACCATTGGCAACCTGCAGTACGGATACAATTCTTGCATTGTTCGTGCATGTAACACTTATCTTTCGGTGCCGCAGGAGCGATCAGCGCAGTGAACACGCACAGCAAGTGGATTATCTGCATGTCTCCTGACAACTGGCATCCAGCCTCACAGAACTTCCTTTGTACTTCGTACAAATAATCGCATTTAGTGGCAGTATCGTGCCGCTTTCAAGCGAGCCTTTCAAGTATCGTTTTACGTCCTGATTTACATGGAACGGAAGGAATGGTGAAGACGAAAGAAAGATGTTTGGGAATGAAGACATATGGGAAGAGAGAAAGAATGCATGGAAAATGGTGAAAGAATGGAAGAAGGAAGAATGGTAGGAGTTTAGTTAATTACAGCATGTGGGTTCCATTCAAAATGTACAAAAAATTATCTGCTTCACCAAAGAAGAAAAAGAGAACGCGAAAAAGCAGAAAGAACGGCACAAAAAAGAAGCAAACAATAATGAGCGTACAGAAAGGAAGAATCCACGGACCAAGGTGTCTCATAAAATGATAATGAACGTTGATAATAGGACCTAAAAGTTCAACACAGGTAGTATGTACCAAATCCTGCCACTAGACTCACAACAGCTAGTCCTTTCTCCCATCCTCACAATGCATCTCTTGTAATGGTATCCTTCCATCTCATTTCTGCTCTTCAAACTGGATTTTTCCAAAATATTTCGTCTTCAAGGTCAAGGTCTTTTATTTGCATACCCATAAACGCATGACTTGGATGCCAAAACGTTTACATTATTTTTTATTTTAAAAGTCGAGGGGATGTAACCGTTGACTAAAATTCAGTCAGTTGTTTAAAAATTCTTAAAATATGTAGGTGGTCCACCAAAGAAAATCCACAAAGTTATCTGTGGTCCAAGCAAGTTTGGAAATCACTGCGCTAAGGAAAACACAAAAGACCTCAGTCACTGCAGCAAGTACCACCAGCAAGATTCTTACGAGGTACCTCCTAAATACAGAGCACAGTAGCAGAGATACAGCAAAAAGGATTTCACACCTAGGCAATGACTTCATAATAAGGCCGTAATGAGGAACTATGAACTGCTGACTCATTCATTCATATTCCTGTTGCTCTTTCTGGAGCATAGGGCATCCGTCAAAAGCTTCGTTTCACTTCAGTTTCTTAATTTTTAGACAGTCGATAGGATTCTTTGGAAAGGGGATCAGCCCGTCACAAGACCACTGCCCTCACAGGACAACACAAACACATAATAAAGGTAGACAAACATTCATGCCTCGAGTAGAATTCGAACCCACGACTCCAATGTTTCAGCTGGCGAAAACAATGAACTGCTGACTACTTACATGCAATAGGATACGAGTATAAAGCAAACCCTCATGAAGAAAAAAAACATGCTTTTACTAGGTCAAGAAAAGTGCAGCTACAACTGAAATCCCCCACATGTCTTCATGGCATCACCTTAATTTGTCGGCATGGCAATATTGATAGCAGATGGTTATCAAGACGGTGTCCATGTCGGCACATAGAAAAGTTGTTACTGTAAACACTTTCCTCTCATGCTGGAAAACCAGTCTGTATTGTCTATATGTTTGTAATATATACCACATTAATCAATTTTTACATGTACATTTCCTCCATTCCCCCCCAATCGTGCAGGCTGTTGATGCTGTTGATGCAAACGATATACCCAAAAGAAGGATAAATACAAACGTCAAATAACAGATGGCAGGCAGATCAAGTTATCGGACTGGAAGGCAGGATAACTTGCAGAATGGACATGACATTTAATCTAGCAAGGCGAGATGTGTCTTCACATTTAGTAGTTTCAGCGTTTTCTAGTCATCCTTGGACCATTTCAGTCCAAGTCAACAACTTATTCGTCTAAAATTAATGTCATATTATCACTTAATTTGAGCCTGGGAAATTACGTAAATACCCACTTTGTTTGCCTAGTACCTTATCGTAATCTAGAAGACTATGGTCTTCTAGATTGTAACGTCGTGTAGTCAGGAGCGTCAGGAGATAGGACGATGTTTCGGAGGAAAATATTGCTTCCATCTTCAGAGTTTATGAGCAAGCCAAGAAGTAAACCAGCAGAAGCAGGCGGAAAGCTTAGCCTGCTTCTGCTGGTTGGCTTGGTTACATAACGAGCCCATATTCCTGCTTGGAATTAGTTACTCTAATAATGCTAGGAGTGATTCTGTGTAACGAAATTTCCCGTTAAGTGATTTTCTCCATTCTGTACTGAATTCAGCGTTCTAGACTTAAAATATATTTTTAATAACATCATATAGTGTGAAATAACAAAGGAATTTACCACGAAGAGGATCATCCAGTGACGAGCCTGGGTGTTAGACAGGATTTTAATGTCTTAAAGTAAATTATTATTAACATTTTAATTGTTTTTTATTAGTCTTTCTTCATGCGTCTTATACTTCTTACAAAATATGTGTACATCACATCTGAGTACTATTAAAGCAATAATACTAAAATGTTTATAGGTATAATTGCAGCAAATGCAAGTGTCTATTGACGTAATGGCAGTCGACCTGTTAATCCGTACGAGACAGATATTTAAGAATAAGTCTGGAGAAACTGAAAGAGTTAATCAGTAAATTTTAGAGCAACGTAATTTATTTAGATCTTCTTCCAGGTTTCATGTGCTGGCCAAATTTCATTGGAGGGAAGGGGGTACTGGTGTGCATGGCCTATATTACAGAACTATTTCTTAAAACAACAGCTCCCGAAATACCAATTTTACTTGGATGTCCTGGTCCCTGTTCTCAAAAACATGTTCAGTCGACTCGGAAGGAAATTCAAGCTAGTTTTAAGTTCCTTTATAAATGATTACTTATATTTTAGCTTCATATGAAAGCAACGAATATCCAATGACGATGAGTTAACCTCAAACCTGCCAGCATCAAAAAACAGCTCGAACCTCACACATATCGTTGCACTAATACACTGCCCAAATTTGACTTTTGCGGGACTCATGTCTGTATATGACATGCCTTCAAGGAGGCTTAACTTCACTGATACTATTGGCCAATGAGAGGAAACCACTGTACCAGCTCCTTATCTCGAAGCAAATTAAACCAGAGGCTATCTCTTCTTTCTGTCATGACGTATTATAGGAAATACAATCCAGAAAGAAGTCATAAATTGTTGTAGGAATGCAATTTGCACGATAGGGATCTACCCATCGAGTATAGAATACGGTATAAGAAACCTTACCATAGTTTTGTTTTTCTGCCCAGTATGGCCCTATATACGTGCGTATATAGTGTCTCAGGAGGAAAGGTCAATATTCTGGGAGGTCATATTACCGGCCATTCTAAGCAAAAAAGTGTGTATGTACATGTGTCCTATTCCAAACTTTATCCGAGATAGAGTTATTTCACTGTACAGTTCCAAAATTGTTGATAAGAAAGGGGTATTACATACTGTTTCTAATACCGGTATTTATTGTTCAAGTGACAAAGTACATTTTACCTAGTATAATACATTTTCGAAAATTTCACCGTCGACGTCAATGCACTTTGCAACTCGTGGGAGGAGGACATGGCGTGCTTTTCGTCTGTACAGTGTACAGTATACGGTACAGTGAAATAGCTCTATCTCGGACACATACACATATAGAATTCTTTGCTCAGAATGGCCGATACTATGATCTCCCACAATATTGACTTCTCTCCTGGCACATTCTGTATATACATGAGTGAATCTCTACCACGACCCACCAGAAAGATCTATACGTTTCCCTCAACCACCAGTTTAACACGAGATTTTGCTTAGGCTTAATTTCTGTTTGGACTTTATTCCCTTGTGTGTTAGAACTTTTGAGAAACGTAGTAGATTTTAATTTAAACTCAATAATGGATAAATTGTAATTTTACTATACACTAACGACCAATGAATTAAGATAATTTACTAATAATCACAGCAAAAGTAATACAAGCCTGTTTTCTGTCTTTATACAAGAAATTTTCATAATATATTTCTCCTTCAGTTGATTATTATTATTATTATTATTATTATTATGTTGTTGTTGTTGTGTTTGTCCATAATGTAATTACTTGTATCTACACTGTGCTGTGTCTGTAATTGGCCTTGTGGCTGTTGATTCGGCACATAAATAATAAAGGATTGAATTGACTTGAATTATTATTATATTATTCTCTTTAATCATATTTTATAACAATCCTTCCATCATATTAAAACACTAATTTTACGCAACATGTATGTATGTTATACTCGTATATGCATATTTGTATATATTTATGTATGCATGTATGTAATTTTTCTCGACGCATAATGGCATAATTATTGTAAATGTATATATTTTGCTTTTCTCACCTCCCATTGATAACTTTAATTTCTAATGGAATTATTATTATTATTGTTATTATTATTATTATTATTATTACTCGTATTAACATTATTATTATTATTGTTACTGCTATCACCACTGCTAGTCTTGCTATTACTATACAAACTGCCTTGTT